AAGGCCTTTATCGCACGTTGGGTCCGTCAGAAATAACCAATTACACCCTAAATCACTTCCAAGAGACGTTCGTTTCCGACTTCGCGGCAACACGCTCTGAAGAAGAGGAAAATAGAGACGAGAAAGAATCGAATCGACAGGCTGGGCCAATGGTGGGCATCGTGATAGAGAGATTTCACCCGGATAGAAAGGTTGGAAAGAGAAGTGCGTGTACGGTGTCCGAAAGGAGAGGCAGGGAACGAATGGACCGGTTGATGGAAGTGGGCCGAAAGAGAGACTCTGCGTGTATAGCGACCGCTGAAGGACAGAGACAGCGGAAGGGATTAGCAGGATGGATAAAGAGACGTGTATGTATAGCCGTCCGGAGAGCTGGTTTGGGGATACCGATAAGCGGCAGCGTCCGAGGGTTAGGTTGGACGGTAGAGATGTGTGAATTGTAATCAAATCAGGGACACGGAGAGGGAGGACGAGGCGGAAGGTAGACAGGAAGATGGAGAGACCGGGCCGTACGAGTGCGTAGGACGGAGAACGCGGTCCGAGGGGTATTTGGTTTCGAGAAATACCGTCCGTCGGGTTTCACGGTGGCGAGGGCTTGTTTCTGGGACTTCATCCGGGGCTGCAGTGGAAATTACGAGCTACCAAGGGCTGTATTATTTCGAGAACGGGATCGCTCGCCACCTGATTGAAATTCATGCTCGATCGAATGGCCTTTTAACTGGTCTGCGCAAAGATGGATATATATACGCACTGGTCGTATCTTTCAAGGACCGGGATTCACAACGCGGAGAGCACATCGAGAAGGAAATACGTATGTCAGTTCGGGGAATTGTAGCCAAATGTGTCAAAGTGGCGTGCCACGTGCTGTAGCGAAAGTTAGGAGGCCTGGGACTTGGGATTGTTCGTTCTAGCCTTCCCTAGTACTTGAAGTATTAAGGGTATAGTGTGTGCACGAACGATGAATGTCTCGTGCAGATGAGGAAGAAAAGAGTGTCAGAGAGTTTCGAGCATTCGGTGAGTACAGTGAGTTGTGAGTCTTGAGCGAGCAAGTTTAGTGTTAATCTTCATCTTGTAATCACCATTAAACAAAATTCTTTAAATAAACAACCTCTCACCTTTTCATACCAAAATTCCTACACATATTTGGCCGGGAACGAGAGAAAATAAGTAGCCGGTCGAGGGCCGTGAACCGGACGAAAAATATGCGGAGAAAGTCGAAGGATGGACCGTGCTCGATCTGACAAGAGCGTTCGTCCGCGATGAAGTGGAGTGCTCGAGACAACCGGCGGCCAAGTGGCCTCTTCTCTTCCGGTGGCCACTTTGGGAACCTTGGTTGGCTGACCAGCGTGCCTGTCGATCGAGCCGACTATCGTCGCGAATCGAACGATGCGCGATGTCTCATCGGAAGGTTGAACGATGTTAGGCGAAACCGCGAGGAAAGATACACGGGGCGCAGAGCAGGACGATTTAGGGGACAAAAGGGAATCATAATCGTATTTTAAGCCGGTGAATCACCGGAAGATGCCGATTGTGTGTCCAGCGGCGGCTATTCCGCAAACTGATTGTTCGTGCTGATTGCGCTGTAGGACGGAAAGCCGCATGCAGTATGGGGCTTTGTATTATCAGACATTGCCGTCTGACAAGCGGCTACGTACGATGCACAAACGTTCGGTCGGCATACAAACGACAGCCTGTGCCCCATAGCCGCAGGATCGTGCACAGATTTCGGGATTTCCCCTCTCTGTGTGTACCTACGTGCGTGTGTGCTTACGTTTGTGTTTCTCTCTACTCGTCTGTCTGTCTGTCTGTCTGTCTCTCTGTCTGTCTGTCTGTTCGCGAAATTGACCGTGCTATCGCGACTTTGGTATTGGGGAATACTCGAGGCTGACTTCGAATTTCAAAGATCCCTCGTAGATCGAGCGGCGATCCAACCGGCGCAGTCCAGCCCTCTAGTTATATTCCGCCCAGTGGCGGCCTGTTAAAAATTTATGAAGGGCGCAACGGGCTCGCGGGCGCACGAAACAAACGGTATCGATCCGGAAGTTATTTACTATCGCTAACTTGCCGCCACCGCCGTTGCAGAACGTTGGAGGCTCTGCGCGTTCACGCTCCCTGGAACGATTGACAATTTATCCGATGACGATGATGATTTTAAGTAACCGCGCGTGATAATCTGGAAGACGAAAGAAAACTGGAATTACCCCTGTTCGACTGTTCCTTCTGAGCCAACAGCATCCTCTTTTTATAATTTGCCGATACATGATTGTAACGAACGTAAGCATTTAGTGTTGTACGACACGAATAGTATATCTGAACAGAGTGAAAGCTGTAATAACGACAAATGAATTTCAGAAAGAAGAAATTTCTGACAGATTGTCTGAGTCAATTGATACTCAGCAATTTACATAATTCGAAATAACTCGCATAAACTAGACTTTTTATTACTTCTAACGAAAGTTTGAAAAATGGGATATTATTTCTTTCAGAGATTGAAATTAATTTCGTTGCGTGCACGTTGATGATTGCTATAAATTTAAACGATATCGCATGTTAGAAAGATATAATCAACAAAATATCGTGTTAAATACCATTCGAATGATTATTATTATTAGAAGTGAATATAATATTGCTTCGTAAATAAATTACTGATAGACGATACAATATACTGAGCGTAGAAATTAATTTTCAACGAGAATTATTTGTGCAAAATTTCAAAATAGTGATAACTATCACTTGTTGGAAATTTGAGATGAGGAGCTCAGCGTGCTGTAAGAGCGCAATATTAATTTCAATTGGATTTGGTGGAAAAAAATTGGTACGATTAGTTTTTTAGTTTGAATTCCTTGAAGAAAGAACTCGGAATCGTTCATATTTCCGCAATAAACGAGACAAAATACATTTTTTCATACTTGAGACGCTTTGTTCAATATATTGTCGGCTTGAAAATCCATTTACTATATTGTACCATTGTACATTATCAGAAATACGCGGTACAATTACGTACATTAAATGCTGAAATATAATTTCATAAATATTGTGAAACAATACAGTGCACTATTAATAGAAAGTGTTAAAGAAAAAAATTCTGGCAACGACGAGTTAATTTGACTTTTGTTGCCGATTAATTAATAACTATTTCTATTGTAAATTCCAATTACCGGTAATTAATGACCGAAGAATTGAAATAACTCTTAACTAATTTCTCACAGTTGTCAATATTATCGCACTATTTTCGTGATTACGCTGATATCGTGATAACAGACATCTCTATCAAATTCTAGAGCAAATTTATATCCTTCAATTCTATTCTTCTCATTTCTTCGTCGCGACATATCTTCTTTCCCTCGTAACGCTTTATTTATAAAAAAATATAGACATAAAAGGTCATAAAACTCTATTGGATGCTGAAACCAAATATTTAACAATTATATATATATGAAACGTAATATCTATTTCGGGTCATGTAGACGCGAGGAAAACAGCAGGATTAAAGGGAGAACGGTTGCTCGCTCGAACTTGATAATATTGCCACGATTCGATTCGTGATTACGAATAACAGTTTGAAAAAATTGATATAACAAGTGTAACAATTCCTTTATTGATTTCCAGTGCAAATGGTTAGCTTGGATCCTTGAAAGGGCAACGTTTTTGTGTACATCTACTTTCGCAATTACGGAGCGACAGACTGGAAAATTAAAGCGTCGCAAGTGTCGATTCTTCCACTGATTTCCTGTGTGAATAACTGTTTTGAGGAGTGAACTTTCCACATTCGAACTCTCATTATCCAAATACTTTAACATCCGAACGATCCATTGTTCAAACAGAATTTTTTAAATTACTAAAGAAAACTTTCCAGAGTTTAATTTCGCGATGAATCAACATCTTGCTAGCGAGCATAATCTTTTTCACGATAACGCCTTACACCGAGGATATTTAAAGAAGGAATTCAACGGTTCAAAGCACAGAAACAATGCGGCTCTACAGAACTATTTATACTTAAAAAAGAAAAAAATTAGACTATTCAGCAGCCAGAGAAAATGTGACTCTCAAGTTCTGAAATATCGAAATTCTTTTTTATACAGAGTGTTTCGTAACTTTTAGGACCTACCTCGGGAGCTGATTGTACGCCTAAAAATAATGAAAAAAAGTCATATAAATATATGTCTTATCTGTCTTCGTTTATAATGAATTTTCTGTTTTAATTACTTTTACAAAAGATGCTCGAAATGACCACCTGCACGCGTCTTGTCATTCATCTGGTCCTACACTCTCTATCATTCCTGGTGTTTCTCGAATTAGCCTTGCTCTATTCTATTTCGTAGTATTTCAGCATGTTCAATCGATGTTGCGTATACAATAGATTTTAAATGTCCCCACAAATGAAAATCTAATGGATTCGAATCCGGAGAACGAGCAGGCCATGCAATAGGACCTCAACGACCGATCCATTTATTTGCAAAGTGTTGATTTAAAAATTGCCTAGCCACTCGGCTAAAATACGGCGGAACACCATCGTGCATAAACCGCATACGAAGTCTAATAATATCGACTGGAACTTCCTCTAATATTTCGTGTAAACGCGTGCTCGAAAAATCAACGTACTTGTGCCTGTTAGTTTCCCCCCTCAAGAAAAAAAGGTCCAATTAAAAATTTATCAATCATTCCTGCCCGTACGTTTAAACTAAACTGGTGTTGATGTATGTCTTGAATGCACAATAACATGTGGGTTTTCTTCATCCCAATTATGATTATTATAAAAATTGAATGTACCATCCCTGGTAAAACTAGCTTACCAGAGTTTGCTCTGTTTATAAAATTCATTATATCTCATAAACGAAGAAAGATAGGACTTATATTTATATTTTTAGGCGTACAATCAGCTGCCGAAGTGGGTCCCAAAACATCCTGTATATCCATTCAAATCCGTAATGTAATTCAATGCCGGGGTTTAACGGTCGCGTCACGTTAAAAAATTTCATTAATCGAGCGCTTTCCTCCCGATTTTTCTGCCCTACTGCACCCTTCACGATTCATCGGAGCAACAGAGCGAAAAATTGGAATAATACGAGCTGTCGTTCCCTCCGCAACGGAGATTCCCGGTGCAGAACGCGGGCAGCGGGTTCGGCTCCTTTGAAGACAGAGACAGAGGCAGGCTCGCTTCATCACGTGCAAACGCGAGCGAGTAGGTATCACGTGCAGAGAACGAGAGACGAGAGACGAGAGAAAGAGAGAAGCGATACTTGATTCAGCTATTACTCGGTTGACTGACTCCGGAGGAGGAGTCTGGCGGAGTGTGGCGCAGATAACAGGATGTGTTCATTGGATAAATTGTCAGTGATATCTGGCGGCGGTATTATCGCCGCGGCGGCTTGGTCAACCGGTTGACGAGTATCGAGAAAGGTATTAAGCCTTCGATCGAACGGTCGCCGGGACCGCCGCAGGACAGAGAAGTAATCAATTTTTCCGTCGGTGTTGACCAACTCGATACCATTTCGACGCAGCCGGTGGCTTTTCAATCGGTTCCGCCGATTCCCGGGGAGAAAAAAAAGGAGCTGCTGGCCGGCGCAACCGTGTATCGAGGGGGACGCGTCAATTTTCGCGTACCGGATAAAGCTGCAATTATTTTTCCGCGGCGCAAGCTACCACGAAATCGATTCGTCTCGCGTAATTGTAAACCACGAGAACGAGGGGATCTTCCCCGTTGACAAATGGCGGTCGGACGAACCATTTTCCTCCGAAACTGGTGGATGGAAAACTCTCTCTCTCTCTCTCTCTCTCTTCCTCTCTTTCTCTCTTCATAAATCCCCGCGATCGCTTGTACAGGATAGGGCATTTCCCTTCGCGGAATTTTGAAGAATTTCGAGAAATATTATGAAAGAATCCTTCCACAGGCACGAGAGAGAGAGAGAGAGAGAGAGAGAGAGAACATGGTACACACACGTGGAGAGAGCTCGATTCCCATGGGTGCCGGTCGAGCTCTCGAAAACTTTGGCGCGCGCCTCGGATATCCAGGTCGAGCACACACTCACCGAACTTCCTTTATCTTTCCGACTGTTTTTCGCATGTACGTCCCATCCATTCTCTTTCTCTCATTTTCTAGATTCATATTTATGTATATCCGTCTCACTCTCCCGCCCGTGGACGTTTCCTCTTTTTCTTCTTCTTCTTCTTCCGCGGAATCAGATGCTATTCGCGATACGAAACGATACGGGAGGGGTTATTCATCGTCGTTTGATCTTCAGGGATCACGTAACTCCGAACTTCCAATAAACGTCACTGCTCCGTTTGCTCGCTCGTCTCTCGAGCCGCGTCGCTCGGTTTCCGCGACGTTGACGTTTCCAACTTTCGCCAGGCCACGTTTCGAACTATCTACAGTCTACAATTGCAGAACTATCTGCAATTTTTCGTTTATCTGCCGTTGTCTTATTCGACGATTCAGTTGATCAGCTGCCAGCTTGTTGTTAATTTCTCTCGTGCAAATTTCTTCAGTTCGAACTACACTGCGGCTGTAACGCGTAAATATTTCGCGATGAAACGTTTGCGGCACACTACACTTTTGACACTTCACGTTACCCTTCGAATCTTTCGATATTAACGAAGGTTGATTTTTAGAAAGGTTGCCTGTTTCTATTGTAACAATTTTAGTTCTTCCAACGTTGTTACAATAACAAACGCTGTGTAATAAATAGAAATTGTGCTTGTCACGATAATTGTTACTGTTATACTCGTTAATATTTCTAGTATATAATTCTGTATGTATTTTACCAGATAGTTGAATCTATAATATAATTCATTTGTGTTGCAAAAAGTTGTGTTTATCATAATCTTCTCGTAACATAAATGAATTACAAATTATATCGCAAGTAATTATGTGTTTGAAAGTCTACGACCATTTGAGAATATCATATTTTATTATACTCGTTTATATCTCCGCAAGTATACAATTCTGTATGTATTTACATTATAGCTGAATCTAGTTATTCTATAATTCTATATATTTATATATTTATTTAATATCTATATGTGATATAGTTATTCTATAATTCTACATATTTAAATCTATATATTTATATATCTATTTATCATATTCATTTATTTATTTATACGTATTCGTCACAATTCAATCAACAATCAAACTTTAAAAGTTGATTCCTTAATATCACATTAAAGCCACAATACGTTGTTCGTAATACAGAAAACGCGTGCTGTACTCGCTCTTGTATATAAATCAACAGATTTAACCCTCAACGTCGAAAAGATTAATTCGCATCGAAAAGTAAAACGTCAATACGGATTATTCAATGACGATTAACCAGACGTCTCTCCTCGCTTCTCCCCTCAACGGCGTTCATTACGCTCAATGCACCCTCCCGCCCCGTGGAAATTCGTAGAACGAAGTCATCGACGATTCATGAATTCCGCAGTTAAAGCACCATTGTCTAAACTCGACGGTACACGAGTTGCTGCTCGGCTCGCCGGTTTATTTGTCTCGTTTAGCCAATTCACAAACACCGGCCGGCTCGCCTTTTCTTCGGCCAGGCAAGCCTTTACGCGCGCCAACTTAAGAAACGCTTGGAGCCTTTCGTGCCTCCGCGCGAGTAGCCAGAGCCGCTGGGTAGACGGTCCTCCACCGTCGTTTGCCGACTAATTAATTCATGGAGTTGGTTTAGCCTTGACGAGCCTCGAGCTCGGCAAGACGTCAGGGAGATAACTCCGAAGCGGCTCGTGTCTTGTCGCTTTTAAGGTCTCCAAACCTGGTAGCGCTCCACCTGTCTCTGTCAAGGTTTATGCACGCCTCCGACTTCTCTCTCTCTCTCTCTCTCTCTCTCTCTCTCTCTCTCTTTCTCCATCCCCGTTGCTTTCGTATCTGTCTTCTCTCGGTGTACATTACAGTGCTGGCTACAAGAGTAACACACAACTTGGGCTGCTTGCGTCTACATCGGTCCCAGATTAAACCAAGTTCCAACTCGATAAATTTTCCAACTTAACGGATTAACGTATCAAACTATCGCTTGGCGTGCATGCGCCAGACTCGGGGACGATGCCTCGCGCTAGACACAGAGAAGTTCGCCCGACTTTGCACCGAGTTTACTTAAAACACCCCCTCCGTAACCTGGTATTCACCGTCCAAACAGGTTCTTTGTTCCTTTCTTTTTTCTTTTTCTTTTTTTTTCTTCCTTTACTCCTCGAAGTTTCAAAGGAACATTTTTCATCTTATATACGCGAGGCTATATTAACCGCGTTGACTCTTCATCCTGTTTCATCGCGATACCTGTTTCTCTTCTCAAAGCTTGGCACACTCCGGGGATTGACTCTCACGTTGGACTCTAATTGTAAAGTGGCCTTAGAACTTTCATCGAAGTTCGCTCGTGTTCGTGTTCCTTTAACTATTACGCATTAACCTCGGCGACCTAAACTGAAAAATCTGAAAAAAGTCTCGCTCGAGGTTTTAAAGGAGTTTCAGGACGCTGAAGCGTTCTTAAAGTGGTTTGGAGAGAAACTCGAATTGAACAGAAACTCTCCTCTCTCTCTGGGTGAAAAGCTCGGCTTGACCTTGGAATAATCTACTCATTCGATCAGGCTTTTTGACGTAAACTACCGTCCATTATCGACGTCGAAGACCACAACCGAAGGAGGGGACACACCTTCCTCCAAGGAGGAGAAAATTAATCTACTAACAATCTGTAGCTTTCAGTTACGTGTGTGTAATGTAGTTACTCGTGTATTTCTCGCTGACCGATACACAAGTTGTAAGAGCGTGTGAATCTGGACGCAGATTGTAGACGATTAAGTCAGCCAGGTTTATGTTTGCGGAATCTTGGAGGATTGTTTGTCGAAACGGTTTTGCCATAATCCAAAAGCTAAGATCCTCATTAACGAACGTTGACCGAGTCTGTTATCGAGGAAGTTTCCCCTCGAAGAATATGAAATATTTATAACGAGCTGAAGATGCGAGTTTTTTTTTTTTTTTTTAAAGATTAAAGATTCCGACATTTAAATTTCAGATCGATCGTTGCAGAAAATTTGAAGCATGTTACAATTTCGAATCTTGAATGAATTTTTTTTACACACTTTTGAATTGCAATTGATTACATGTAAAAATGTGATATTACACGAACAATTGTAATATTCTTATTTCTTCTAGAGAAAGCAAAAAATTGCTCCAGTATTTTGAGCATGAGTGTAAAATATAAATTGTTAATCCATTCTGCAGTCTCGAGAAATATCCTGAGAAAATTAAATTTTTCAGCCAACTTTGCTCAGACAATTGCAGTTTGACTTTGTAATAACTTTGTTCGTTAAGATTTATTTGTTTGCTCATTATTTTCAGCAATTGACAATATTCTTTTCAACTGTATTCATTTCGTCCATGATATAAATATTCTTTTTTAACTGTTTGTACAAGGTTGACCAACTTTGAATATTTCTGTTACTTTTCAATAACGTAGAAAGTTTTATAACACTCTGTACAATAATTTCGTAATATTTTATAATTAACTCGACTTTGAATGATTCTGATCATAGTTCGTTGCACTCGAGTCTCAAAGCCGGTTAAGAAGATTATAACATCTTGGTTGTATAAAATACAGGCGATCTTCAAGTAAAATTCATTTACATAAAAAAATATACTACGTTTCGAGACAAACGCGTTTAAAGTTTCAGAACGTCACTTTTTTCATATGTATCCTTTACTTACTTTTTTTTTACTTATAATATCGCGGTTCACAATTCACAATTCACAACTAAATTGAATCCAATTATAATACTAGTTCAAAGTCGTTTTAAACGCTAGGACCACTGTATCTTATTCCTAAGACTTCAAACTACTATCTAAAAAAAAAAAAAAGAAAGAAAATCGATTTTTTGAAAATTTGAGACTGTCTTGAACCCCTTGAACAATTTGTCGGTCTCTTTTCACCGCTTCGTGGTCATTTCGTGTATTCGCAGCGACGATTCGAAACAGAATCGGTGGGAGAAGCTTGCGCGCTAATTTTCAAAGTTGAGGAGAAGACGAGAGGCGCGGATCGGACTAGAGCCTGGCTGGACAATCGCTGGATCCACCGGCAGTGAAAGGCGGGGAACTTTCGTGCCCCCCGGTATATAGTTTGACGCGTTTCTCGCTGCCGCGGTCGACGGTGGCGCATAGAATCTTTAGAATGGGACACGACAGGACGTCCCGTCGTTGCCCCGGGGGGATTTTCACTCCGTGGCGGAAATGCCGTGCAACTTCGGACGGTGTTTCGTCGTCGTTGTCGCGCGCAGCACAGTTGGGTAGTCGAGCGAAACTGCGAGCTGACGGCCCGGGTTAAATGCCGTACCTTCCACTGTCCATCGTTGAATCAATTTGTGTTTCGCAGAACTTTGCCTACCGTTTGATCCGAATCCGTGAAAAAATTGCACGTCGGAGGAACATCGCTCTACGACCGGCTATAATTATTAGCTACGGGAATAGAAATGAATTTCTATCAACGAAAGTCGAAGAAATATGTAATTGAAAGACTAAAAGCAAGCTGAAGGCAAGTGTAAGGTAATTCATTTGACAAAGGACACCGACGTAAAGTGAGTGCAAAAGTGTTGAGTGAACCTCCATTTTTTGTCCCAAATTGCAACAACTTCTCAGTATTTACTTTAAGCATATACTCCATATAAAATAGTATATATAGGAGTGTATATTCCTTGAGTAGAATAATATATACTCCGTATATCATTTATCTTTTATATATATATCATATTTTATATTTTACTATTTTACTATTTTTATATTTTACACTTTATTATTTTGTATTTTTGTATTTATCTTTTATATATATCAGATGTTGCATCATGTAAATGTAAATCAGGCAAAACAAATGATTTCTATCCATTCTAACGATGTCATACCTACGAGTTCGAAATCAAGAGAAAGCGACGAATTATTGTACACGGTCACTCGTTATGGTCCGCGAACCAGTTGCCAGCGCAAAATGTTAAACACACTATTAATCGAGCGCGCAACAGCATTCCTAATAATTGTAAATTCCTAATTGTTTTTTTTTTTTACAAGAAGAATGTTCATTCCTCGGAGAAACGTGGAAATATTGGAAGCGAAATCGATGCTTCGACTCTGGAAATTACTAAATCACCGGATATTGACGGGGGTATCGATCGTGAGAAAAAGAGAGAGACGAAGATCCTACGAAGGAGAAATTCAATCGAGCTCTCGTCGTTCGTTCGTCGATTGTTCTCCATCCTCCAACGATAACGTTGACGTGCAGGTACGCGAATCACCGCGGAATGGCATTATGGCGAATTACGTTGCCGAGTTTGGGGCAGGGACGCAGAGCAGGAGGGAGGGAGGGAGATCTCTTTGAAAGCAACACCATTACCCGTCTATCGATACGCAAATATTTCACTCGACCGGCACCAATTATTCCCATTGAGGTAAACCGGTGCTCGGGCCGGCTTTAATCGCGGCCATTCATACAAATTGAAAGATAACCGGTAGCCGTCAAACGCAGTTGCCGCGCCGCAACAGTCCGCGGTAGATTCGCGTTTTCGGCGTATTAAAAATTAACCCCGGTGAGAAAATAGGCGAGAACACAGCGCGATCACGCCGATAAATCCGACGAGAATTGTCGTCCTCCGTCACTCCGCCCGATTATCGTTGATCACTTATTCAGGTGTAACGAGTATACGAGACACATCTCGCAAGCGAACGGACGTATTCGAACCTACTATATGGAATCGAGCAGCCACGATACTTTATCGGGATGCGCGCGCTCGCGTGTCCCGGAATTAATTCGACAGGGAATGCGAAAAGGATTAGCGACGTTTTGAGTAAGCCGTTGCTAACAATGCGACGTTGTCTCCCCTCCCCCTATCGGTCTGGTCTCAGGCTGCATGTACACACTCGGCGAGGCAAAGTCTCTCGAAACTTCGTCGCGCAATATGGCCGGGGAACGGGGATTGATGTTGCGCGCAACAAGTGGAGAACAAAGTTTCATTCGAAATACGTATACATACGTATATATATATATATATATATATATATACAGCTGTGAATTCTCCGCGCGCGCGTATCACGGACATTAAAGAAAACGATCGAGCAGAAGCAGAAGCAGATGCCGCGTTATTATGGCGACCAGCGCGCCATATAAAATACGAAATTCGCGTATTCATTGAAACGGTACTTTTTCTCCGCCGTTTTTCTGTTTTTATTTCGGTAGCTGTTGGCAACGCGATGGCTCGCAGTGCAAATTGAACTAATTGAAGCCATTGTCCTGTGAAACGGCGCCGCGCGCGCGCGCGGCAAAGTGCAACTCATGCGCGATAATTGCCGGTCGCGGGCAACTTTGACGTTTTGTTAATCTACGATTTCTCAAAACTCCGGATAACACCGACTTCGACGTCACAGGGTTGCTCTAAACGCAGTGGGGCCAAGGCTAAACTCGAATTCCACTTTGCACGCGATCGCCGATGGAGATAAAAAAAAAAAAGAAAAAAGAAAGAAACGCGTGATACAGATAGACGCGTGCAAACATGCGGATTCGCCGAGTGGAAATTGGAATTCTAAAGGCTATTCTGAACGATGACGGGTCGCTGTTCCGCGAACTCGCTGTGGTAAACGAGTACGACGTGAGGCAGCGAACGAATCCAAAGCTTGGATAGGGGGAGGGAAGAGCAGCGGAAACAGGAGGATCATCCGGAAAATAGGTAGCGTTCTTCAGGACGGCTCTGCGGGCCGTGAAATGGCGCGACGCGCTGCGCTCCGGTAACTCCGACGCTTCTCCACCGACGTGGTATCTGATAACACAGACGTAAACCTGAGATAACACCCTTACATACTAACCACCGACGCCGAGTGCTTTAAGTTCGAGGATAGTCGAGGGGTATGTTCATCGCGTACGACAGATAAAGTTGCTTGGAGGGCCGACTGCACGAAAGTGAAAGAGAGAGAGAGAGAGAGAGAGAGCTTCTCCCAAAATGGCGATATGCACCTTTGTTCCTCCGGAGACAGATAAGTCGGGATTTACATATCCCGGGTCTGCGGTTGCCGGGAAATTTCGTGTTTCACTTTGGATCAGCGTCGTTCTATCAAACAGACGTTTCGACTTATTCGACCAAGGATGGGATTTTCTATAAACGTTAGATGAATGGTGATGAATGAACTTGGCGCAATATGAAAAATTAACATTTATCACGCTCTATTCGCGAGTGGAAACATAGATTCGCGAGTTAGTCTTTCTTACGGGTTTGAACGATCAAACTTCATTTAGGTTTTCATCGTTTTAGGTATGTTTAGGAATATATGAACGTAAGTGCTGTTTCATAAAAGTGTAAAACATAGGAAACAGGTTTTAGCGATCAAGCTTCACCAAGATCAAATTCTATGTAGAACTAAATAGTAAGAAAAAAAATTATATAACATATAAGTCTATATAATATAATATACGTTACAACTTTTAAAGCGTTTCTAAACCTATATAATATAATATATAGTTCATTTGGTTTTCGAATTTCCGCGCGTTCAAACATTTTCCCAAACATGGCTAAAGAAACTTTAAATTACAAGATAGAATTGTGACGATACCAATAACGAATCGATACAACGTTGCAACTTTTAAAGCGTTTCTAGACCTATATATTATATTATAAAAGTTGTAATGTATATTATATTATATAGACTTATATGTTATATAATTTTTTCTCTTACTATTTAGTTCTACATAGAATTTGATCTTGGTGAAACTTGATCGCTGAAACCTGTTTGCTAGGTTTTGTTCAATCCTCATGAAGTCCTACAAATTCAATACAAGTGTCATTACTTAACATCTACAATTCTGACGTATATTTAACGATCCTATGACGAACTTTTTAAAACTACGCTGTTTAGATATCCGTTTAAAAAGAAAAATGCCACATGAATTTGTCAATTCTGTTAGACATTGGCCGGAAGATGACAGTAAATGCTAATAAACCACCAAGAAATTCAGGATCTTCACCAACTTTCTAACAATTATACCATCGATCAGACAATCGTGTCATTGAAGAATGCAAATGAAAAGTCTAAAAAAAAATTGAACCAGCCTGGATCCTCCAAAAGAGGATTGGCTCATTCACTGAATAAATCGTTTATGCATCGAAATATTCGTCGAAGATTGCAACGTTGGAGATTCGTCCAACGCGAAAGTTCAAAATCGTGTAGGTTCTACTAAAATACACATGGCACGAGAAACGTGTATTAACGAGTTAAGAGTTCAAATCCCTGATGCATGTGCGCGCAGAGCACGTGAACCGCATATTAAGGAATTACAAAGATCCCTGGTTCGCTGATCCACGAATTTCCAGTTGAAAAATTTCCATTTCCTTTACGTCACGTCACCTACAAATTGCAATCTGATAGAAATCCTTCCTTTACAATTCTACAGACTGATTCTCGCAATTGTAACTGGTTGCGTCTCGAAAATAGAAGATGGAAGAGAGCTGCAGAGAAGAGGCTTACTTCTTCCCGTGAGTGTCACTCGAAGCACTTGGAAAATGCAGACGCAACTTTTGTTTAAACGGAGTCGTTTCGATACACTAGACAAAAGTATTAACCTACGTATGTCTAATAAATTATTAATTTAGAAGAGATACTCGAATTTTAAAGGATCGAGAGACTCAAACTGGGCTATGTAAATTATTTAATAATAATATATATGTAGACTAATTTTAAGATACGAGAGACCCAAACTGGGCTGTGTAAATTATTTAATAATAATATATATGTAGACTAATTATTTAATAATAATATATATAGTTATGTATTATTATTAATATATATATTATTATATATATTATTATTAATCTACATATATATAATATGTATATGTAGATTAATTATTTAATAATGATAATGATATATATAAATTATTTAATAATATATATGTGTTTAGATTAATTATTTAATAATGATAATGATATATATATATATGAATTATTTAATCTACATATATATTATATATAATATATAATATATGTAGATTAATTATTTATTAATGATAATGATATATATATATAATTTAATAATATATACTAATAATAATATATTATTATACATTATTATTAATATATATATATATTATTTAATCTACATATATATTATATATAATATATATACGTAGATTAATTATTTAATAATGACAAATATATATATATATATATAAATTATTTAGTAATATATATAAATTAATAATAACAATAATATACACATATAAATTATTTAATAATACATACAAATTAATAATAATAATAAGACTCTTCTTCAGAAGAGCCCCAACAGGTGTACGCTGCGAGATATCGAAACGCGAAGCGCGTTCTACGCTGGAAGAGCGTCGTAGGAGCCAACTACGTAGCCGACGGTGTGTCGACTGTTGCGTCTTGAGGGTGGACGCGAGCGGGACACTCACTTCCGCATGCAAATGCGAAGGCGTACACAATCAAAGCGCCGGCGGGACGACGATACATATTCAAGCGGTCAGCATGGGTAAACACCGGTCGAAACGGAGCGACGACGGTTTACCTCGGCAAGGAGTAGCTGGCTAGGCTAGCTGCAGGTGTGTGTATGCACCGGTCCGGTCCGGTCCGGTCGGCCCGTCGCCGGCTCTGGTTTCTGTATGCGGCGAGGAACACGACGTGTGTAGCGTCGCCGCGATGGAGGCGGAGGAGAGCGGTTAAGGGGGTGGAGCAGCGGTGAAACGCTTCGAGGTACAGGCTGTATACACGAGGCAGGACACAACAGGAATCTAGTTGGGGTCTATGGCGGATATACGCCGCGTACACGGCCGACAGGCCGAGGCCCATCAATTTCCCATTCAATTCGCAGGCTTGCCTCCCACCCACCCTCTCTCAGCCCGAATGACGGCATCCCTTCCGCATTCCGTCCAAGAACGGGGATCCTCCTGCACGTCGAGAGGTGAACGTCGATTCCAGCCGTTCGTTCTGTCCAGTCAAATCGCGTAACGCGAATTAAATATCACCGTGCGAACGAGGATGATACTTCTTATCAGGTGGGGGGGAGGAAGCAGAAGCGGTTGGAGTCATCGATCTGGGTCTTCTTTTCTTATTTCTTTTTTTTTTTGATCGTGTTTGCCAGAGAAGAAGACGGAGTCGGGACGAGCCGTTTTCATATTCCGGCGGCGTTATATTTCCACGAGAATCTCACGGAGCGTGCTTCATATTTCGGGCTGAAGGTGCTGTTTGAATTTTAAACCGACGCGCGGCTGGGAATCTTGGGAGGGAAACACGATTGTTCCGGGCCGGCGTATAAACCGGGGATCGGCGGCGCGCAATGTGTCATTTGTAACGCGGTAACTTTCGACGTCTAGTTTTCAATGGAGCTAATCAATCAAACGTCAACCACCACTAGCGTTTCGTTCCGTGTGTACCAAGCGGCGCGGGGATCGATATATATATATATATATATCCATCGAGGCGGCCGGTCGTATGCAAATTAACGGCGGGGAAAATACGAGTGGCAGCTCTCTCTCTCTCTCTCTGGATCCGCGTGTTGGAATCTTCCAAAAACTAATTCGATATTCCAGCTGCGTCCGATGATCGCAGGTTAGAGAAGCCGAGCGAAATTCTGTTTATCCGCGGCCGGTTGCGTTTAGCAAAATCAATCGCGTATTAATGCTGCCGGGTCGGCTGGTAATTGGATCCATTTTGCATGCAGTATTTTGTTTGGAAAAGTACCGCGGAAATTCGATCGTGTTTACACGCGTATTTTTTACCATTTCCATTTCGACGAGGGGTTTTAATTTATAGGGATCGCTGCCACGTCGACGGCGATGCCTCTGGTTATTTTACGGTGAATAGAGGAGGATTGAAACGACTGGGAATTATCGTAGGGAGAAATGGAGCTAGTCTCGGGGTAGTTAAATCTAATCGATAGATACACCAGCTGAGGACGATAATTTTCAATTGTCTCATTCTCGTTATAAAAAAACTACCGTGGAATATTTCTCCTTTTTTCTAAATTGACAGTTATTGGTATTCGTTTGTTAGTTTCGTCAAATCGTTTGAGCGTATGCACCTAAACACATGTTTTTTTTTTTATCAGACACGTATTTTTGTTGGTCGTAAATTACGCTTTTGTAGAGCTTTTATTGCCATCAAATTTCCGTTGAAACTGAATTAAAGTGGAAAGAGTGGATCAAAGATGATCGACATATATTTATTGCAAGAAATTAAATATACTTAACATCATATACATAACACATATTCAATTTTATATATTGAATTTATTATACATTCAATAAAATACTATGGAAAAAATTCGAGTATTTACACATTTAATTTCCGCTGCCTCAGCTAATTCCTGAATTTTAAGTTAAGTATGGAGTCAAATTTCGAGTAACATTTCTCTGGATCTCAGCAATTAACAAAAAAAGTATCTCCTTGTAAACAACAATTTTCAAAGTGAAGCGATACTAAAAAGCCCTTCATGTTTCTTTGCAATCTTCAGTAAACCGGCACTGTGGATCAGAATGAAAAGTTTTCACAAAAACTCGTTGCTCACAAAAATTTATACTCATCGATTACGCATTATCGCGTACGATTTTTCCTGTCAATTGTTGTTTCACCGTCGCCCGCAGAATGCGCGGTTATTCCGTTCGATTTTACGAGTCGTTCGTCTTCGTAATTGTCGTTATTATCTTCGTTGCGTCGGCTGGCCGTTCGTTAGCAGGCCGGCGAGGTCATCGTTCCTTAAACGTTCCAGTTTCTGTTCCCATCTACGATTCTCCACGGCCAATAAACGACATCCTCAATATTGACCTTCCCGAAACCACCATTAATTCTTCTATCTTCTACAGCCCCATCCCCCAAAAGAGCAAACTTCCCTCGATATTTCCCCGACATCTGCCACAACGCGACTTGGCTCTAGAAACCACGAACAGAGTCGATTTTACGGTCATGGCCCAATTCGTTGCGTTTATTTCACTTTGAACGACGATGAAATGTTTGGCCCCGAGATGGGGTTAGTTCCAGTAGAAATGTAG